CGGCTTTTGTGTGCTGGCCAGAATAGTTTTAGCCAGCTCGTGAACGAGGTGAGAAAATTTCCGCGGGTCCGCCACCATGCGTGAATCACTCCCAAAATCGTGGAAGGTTGGAGTTGGCTTGTATTTTTTAAGCTTGTGAAACGAGGTGGCTCTGCAAGACATTTATTCAGCAGTTAAAAAATTAGTCACAGCAGCAAGAAAACCTTTAAATCTGCAAACTCCTAGTCATAGTTGTAATACTCTAGAGCCACCGGCTTTGATGGCAAGCTGGATATGCAATCATCTTCCTAAGAAAAAATCAGTCGAAAATATACTTACTGTCCAAAGAGTCGCTCGGCAGTCAAAATAGAGATATTTGGTTCATTGTTCACCTGTCTTGAAAGACCGATTTTGTTTGCAAACTCCCAGGCCGCCGCAGATCTCTGGCATACTTCTTGAGCCTCAGAAGTTGGCAAACGACCCCTGAAAGAGCTAAAAAAAATAAAACGTTAGAAAAGAGGAAAACGTTTGGAGCTCGAGAGAACAAAGGACCAAACGTACGAAACTTGTCAGTGCAGATGTTATCCGTGATGTTCCAGCCCGAGAAGAAAGTCCGCAAGTTATGAAGCCTTGCAAGCTCCCAGATGGGATTTGTCTTGGCCCCATTGACACCCTCCACCCAGTTAGCTCCCAGCTCGACGTTAATCCCCCGAAATTTTTGGGACCGCATTCTCACCCAAATCTTCTCCGTCGCCTCGAGAATCAGGAAATCCGTCACTCCGCTGTCCGCCAGCGTCTTGGCGGCCATAATTCCTAGCTCGATCCAAGAATGGGCAAGAATTTCAAGAAAAAACTAGCGAGATCGGAAGAACTTACCAGACATCCCACCTCCGATGACGATCACGGTGTGCGAGCTCACGATCTACGCGAAGATCATCGTCCAAACGCACAGCGCTAGCAGCGCGACAAAAGCCGCCATGAGAGAGAGACAAGCCCTACGCTCTCAACGAATATACCCGCAATTCAAATTAGGTCTATTTGTTAATTTCAAAATCTTTTACCCTTTTTCGAAATAGCTGCACCCTTATAATGCCAATCATTTATTACATTAGGCACGTTTTATTTGCAACGGGGACGACCATCCAAGCCGTCCAATGCCATGCGAAATCAGCCGTCAGATTTAGGCTATCTAGCAGGTCTACAGAGGAAAGTGCATTAAGTGCCACTAGGAGCGCGCCACGTGTGTCGCTAGAAATATCCGGTCCGCTTTCGCATTGGATTTTTAGGGCAGAGTGGAGTGGATCCCATGGAGGATAAGAATGCCCCTCCTGGAGGAGCTCTCTTCCCGCGTCTCCATGTCAAAGAGACAAAGAACGCGGGTCCTCGCGCTCCGCCCAGAAACAAAATGGCTCTCTACGAGCAATTGACAATCCCTTCTCACAGATTCCAGCAGCAGCAAAGCGATGGAGCGCCACCGCAGCCTTTTGTGCCTCAGGTTTGCAAATTCGAGCCTATGATCTCGCCGGTGAGCTCTAGAAAGACTGAGGAGTTCTTTTCTACAGGCACTCAATAGAGGCTACTATTTTCCTTACTACATGGTTCCTTCTCCGGTGGCTTTCCAGCCCATGAATGTTGTGCTGGGACAACATAGCCAGAGTGTTGCGAATGAGACTGAGCAAAGGGAGCTCCAGCAAGTTCCAGGTGACGGTGGTAGTAACAGGCAGCTTGCTCGAATTCCCTCTTTGCACTCGAGAGCTGGATCGGGCAAGACGAAGACTAGAGCTCCAAGGGTGGACGACGTTGCAGCGGTGCCAACATATCCCTCGAAGCCTGCAGCAGTCCCCGCAAGATCTTCTAAACAGGAGCACTTCGCTAGTGCTTCTGTGGCTCCCTCCAACGCGAGTACTAGCGCTACGAAGTCTCAGAGACAAGTTGAAGTTCGGGAGACAACGCAGGCGAGGAAAGATTCACGGCCGAGAAATAGAGCTCCTGGAGACTTGGGTGATCAAGAAAATGGAAGCGAAGTTCGTGTAATGGCGTCGTCATCACCCAGCCATAGCTACGAGAGCAACGAAGACAATGGGCGGATAGATAATCAGTCTGACGAGGAGCTCGAGGGCCGTTGTTCTCCAGAGGAAGTGGAAGCCAGTGACGATTCTGCGACTTCGGTTGTGGAAAACAATGCCGCTCCTTCAGCTATTACTTCCAAGGAGATCATGTCTGCCGTTGGCGACGAGGAGTTTTGGAAAATGCGCAAGGCTATGCAAAGGTTAGTTTTTGCTGTCTCTCGGTATTTTTTTCTTCTTCTTTTTCTTTCCAAGTACCATTTTGTTTTGAACTTCTAGGCAGCAAACCATTTTTCAAAAGCAGCTGTTTGAATTGCATCGATTGACCAAGGTAAGCAAGCTTTGTAGAAAAAAAAGAGCAGTCTTTGATGTGTTTTGCTTCTCTTTTTTCTTTTTCTTTTTCAGGTCCAGCATCTTATGGCAAACTCCAAGATAAGTGATCCTTCAAAAACACAAGACGAAAAAACTGACAAACGAGTCGGGAGCGAGCCGACTCACTGTGGCGAAGCTCCAAAAACCAGCAAGCCCGGTCCAAAACCCGACCAAGCTCCGGCTCCAAAAACTCCATCACAGACTCAACCTCTGTCAACAACACCTTACGCCTATACCACTCATCCTCGACCCATCCAAGCCGCAAACACCATCAACTACGCAACTTCCCACCCAGCTTACAACCAATGGTACGCTCCTCTACCGTTTCAGTTTCCATTCCAGCAACCTTTTCCAGTCACAGCGCAAGTTTTCAACACTCCATACTACCCAGCTCCGCTGTATGGCGGCGGCGCTGCTCCTCCATTTCTTCCTCCTCCAGATCCAAGGCAGTTTATGTCTCCTCCAATCCAGCTCCAGCCATGGCCGCAGCATCCCGGAAGTTTATACTCGGATCCGGCTGCTCTCCAGTGGATGGGATTCGTAAATCCTCCCGGCGGAGCAACTTATCGTCCGCCAGCGGCGGAGTCGAGCTTGCAAGCTTCGTCGATCCACGACGATCACCAGTCTCGCAAGGATCGCGGCATCCATCTCCGCTCGCAAGGCTCCTCGTCGGGTTTTAGTCTCATCCAGCGAGCCGATAGCTCGTCTCCAGCTCCAGCTCCATCGCCATCGCCAGCAGCAGAGAATCGCAGGCAGCAGCACCAAGAACCGAGGCAAAAGCTTGTGGGAAGGTTTTGCGGAGAGAAGCAAAGCGGTGGCGAGAGCGAGCATGGAGTGTCTCCGTATTCTCGGCCTTCTGGATTCCAGAGCGTGAAGAACAGCAGCAGCAGCAGCAAAGAGCAGCGATCGAGCCAGGGATCGCACAAGGCGATCAAAGTTACTCCAAGAGCAGCTCCGGTCACTGCCGAGTCCGCTGCTGAGATTTTACATTCGATCCAGAAAGAGCGTCCTTCCTGACCGGTAAGTGAAGGTTCTCTTCTTTTTTTCTTGTGCATTGTCTTTTCTTTTTTCTTGGCTTTCCTCTTCGTGGGTTTTTTCCCAGGCCTGTTGTAAATATATAATACAAAAGGTGTGGTGTTTCGAGCTGAAATTTTAGGTCATGGAGGCTATGGCGGCCAATTTCCTTGCTGCTTCTTCCTCTTCCGGCCTCGGCGCCACAATCGCTTCCTCCAGGGCCACAGCCAGCGGCTCCAATGCGGTAATCTCCATCTCTCCCAGGAAATCCTTGCGAGTGCCATGCATCGCCTCGCCGCGCCGCCAATTCGCAGCTGGAAGAACAGGGAGAGCCCTGATTTGCAGAGCATGTAAGTCGATCGAGCCCATGCGCGCATTCTTTCTCATGGATTTCCCGGATTGCCGCAGCGCTGACGCCCGAGCTGCGGGAATCGGTGGAGAAATTCGTCAAGGGGCACAAGGTCGTGCTCTTCATGAAGGGCACCAAGCTCTTCCCACAGTGTGGCTTCTCCAACACGGTCGTACAGATCCTCAATAACCTGAGCGTTCCGTACGAGACCGTGAATATCTTGGAGGACGATGGCCTCCGTCAGGGCCTCAAGGCCTACTCCAACTGGCCCACTTTTCCACAGCTCTACATCGATGGCGAGTTCTTTGGTGGCTGCGATATCACTCTCGGTAAGTTTAGCTATCTCCTCTCCATCGATCGATCAAGCTTAAGAATTCTCCTCGCTTTTCTCTTTTTTGCCAGAGGCCTTTCAATCCGGACAGCTTAAAGAGGTTGTGGAGAAGGCTATGTGTTCGTGAGAGTGAAAGGTTCTTATTATTTATTGGATCATTCTTTCTTCACTCTTTCTCTCGAGTCTTCTTCTTTCTTTATAGATATGGTACGCGTTTGTGGCTCTTAAAAGTCGACTTTGTCGCTCCCGGGAGTCCAGTATTGGAAGGTGCCAGTGACAAAGCTGTAGTGGCCACCGTGAAGAGCCAGCTTCTTCTCCTCCACCGCCGATTTAATCCAGGGAAAAGTCATGAGATTGCTGAGCGAAACGTTCACTGACTCCTGCCAAGAACAAACAAGAAAAAAGCTTGCGAAAAAACCATCAAAGACTCTTTTTTATTTACCTTTTCACCGCAAGAGCATCGTTCGTCGATATCGTGCGAGTGGTTTTGGTTGGAATGAACGGGAGTTGAGATTTTAATCCAGTCCTGGATGTAGTCACTGCATTAAACCGATTCAAATCCATTCAGAAGATGGTCCAAACTCAAATGCTTGGCTTCGGTGGACTCGCTCCAAACTCAAATGCTACACGGAGTTCTAGCGATTCGCGAGCGAGGAATTTACGTTACCTCCATTTTTTCTCCGGGTCTGTGGTCAGCAGAGCCTTGATTCCTCCACACCGGCTGTGACCGATCACTAGGATATGCTCCACCTTCATGAAAGCGAAGGGTGATCAGATATTCTCAAACTTTAGAGAAGAAGGTCCAACTTTTCTTCTCCTAGTTTAGATTATACCTTGAGGTGCAAAACTCCATATTCGAGAGCCGCGCTTGTGCTTGGAAATCCAGCCTGCGAAGAAAAGTCCTGAAATTTAGCGAAAAACGAAAGGAAGATCAAACGTTTCATAGCTGAGCTACCTCGCCACACGCTGGGATCATGCTGGCGATGTTGCGAACGACGAATGCTTCGCCCGGCTGGAGCCCCAAGATCGTCGTCGGGCAAACTCGCGAATCGGAGCAAGCGAAGATCATGAACTGCGCACGGGAAAAAAAAATTGGTTTTTTCTTGGTTCTTGCGAGATTATCCAATGTTCTTCTCTACCTTGGGTGATTGACCGGCTGAAAGTTTCTCGTAGAGCTGTGGATTTTTACTGCGAAAGGAGAAACGACATAAATCTCGAGAATGCGAGAAGCGTGACAATGAACGTACAGCCAGAAGTTGTTCTTGAACTTGAGAAATCCTTGCTTGATTCTTTCCTCCGCCGGAAGTTGGAGCGACAAATCCCCCAGATTTTCTTCCGTGCTCGCATCGAGCTCCTTGGCGAGATCCAAGAGCTTCTTAGCGGCAACCGGCTTGAGACGCGGATCCTCCCTGTTTAAACGGTTGAGAATTAGACAGTGGCAAAACAACCAAACACCAAGAAAAACAAAGCATACGACCACACTCACTTGATCTTCTGGAGGAAGATCTCCTGCGCTTCCTCGAACGTTTCGATCGTTGAAACGGGCGCCATTTCCCTCTGGAATCCTCCCCCAAATTCGAGCAAAAACCGGCCAAATTGGGCGCGATCGCGAGCGAAAAACTTAAAACTGGAAGAACACGATCAAGTTCCAGCGCCATTTTAGGCCAAATCTCACCTCCTCCTTGAATCTCTCGAGGAATTGACGAGGTGGAGGGTCAAGAGTGGCTCCCGGCGCCTCGAAGAAGAATGGACTCCAAAGACCACTTCACCGCTCTACCTCTTTTACCAAGGCTGACGTGGCGTGGAATATGCCGTTTCATACCTTTTACTTTTTTTGTTTAGTTGTGGAATCATGTGATTTGGTTAAACGCTTGTGTGGTGCATAGCTGGTACAATGTAGCTAGTCAGAGTTTTAATATTTTTCTCGATAGTATATGATTTGACCACCACCTTATCTCCACAGTGGTAAAAGAAATTACGTAGCCTATAGTCTATTGTGTGATCCCAAACGAAAAGCTTTATATCCTTTTATCCACCTCAAGAAATGAGTGTTCTGGAAGGAATCGATCCATCTATGGCAGGTACTTCGTATACCACAGCAAAAGCTGGCAGATGGCACCATACAAGAGTTATAGGAGATAGCAGACTCTGAACAACTTTGATGCTGGGGGCTGGACTTGAACTCCCTATGCACAGAGCCCGTCGAGGACCTCAAATGATAATATTCTCTATGACAAAGGTTCAATGTGCGTTGGCTATAACAACTAGGATTCTTCCGAGTTACCAAATAGGATGGCATCAACTCATCGAGGAACTAGGATGCCACACTAATCTTGAGATATTTGGGATTAAGGGTCTTTGGTGCTACTTTCCCAGGTATCGATCCTTGGACGCTTTCCAAGTTTGAAATTTGGCGCGAAGAATGGGGCTAGGGCAACTTCTTCCTCTCATGGACTCTTGCAAGGATTTGGAGACGGCGAGGAAGATCCAGGCGATGCTTCGATCCGAGGACGATGTCTTCCTCCACAACCGGCTGATCGGGATTTATGGGAGATGCGGCAGCGTGAGCGATGCCCGTGCCGTGTTTGACGCGATCAGGCGCAAGGATTGCTATTCGTGGCATGCGATGATCACTGCCTATGCGCGGAGTGGCAATCCGGAGGCTGCCAGGCGGGTGTTCGATCAGATGCCTGTCTGGGACGTGGTGTCGTGGAATTCGATCTTGGGCGCCTTTGTCAGGGCGGGATTTCTCGCCGAGGCGGAGAGGATCTTTGATTCCATGCCTGAGAGGAATCTTGTTTCGTGGAACTCCATTGCCGCTGCGCATGCCCAACAAGGGAACTGGTTGGAATCCAAGAGGATTTTTGATTCCATGCCAGGCAGGGACTTGGTTTCCTGGAACACCATGATCGATTGCTACACCCAAAATTCTCAACTGGCGAATGCAAAGATGGAGTTTGATCTGATGCCTGAGCGCAATCTTGTTTCCTGGAACGCGATTTTGTCTGCTTATACCCGTGATGGGCAAGTTGATATCGCAGAGGCGATTTTCAAAGAGATGCCGCAGCACGATCTTATCTCCTGGACCGTCTTGCTTGTATGTTTCTCTCAAAACAAAAAATTGACAGAAGCGAAAAAAGTTTTCGAGACGATGCCCGAGAGAGATTTAATAGCCGGAAATGCTCTTCTTTCTGCAAATGCCCTGACCGGGCATCTAGAGGAAACATCTGTTTTGTTTAATAGTATGAACGAAAAAGACGTAGTTTCGTGGACAATTATGGTCACGATGTTTGCTCAAAACTTTAGTTTAGAGGAAGCGCTTATTATTTTTAACCATATGCCAATGAGAAACTTGGTCTCCTGGACATCTTTAATTTCAGCATACGCCATGAAAGGGTATCTTAGTGAAGCTAAGAATTTGTTTAATGAGCTGCCACAAAAAGACCTCGTAGCATGGAACACAATGCTAAATGCATACTATGTAAATGGTCTTATGTACGAACTGAAACAGTTTTTTGATCAAATTCCGGGGAAAAACTTAATTTCTTGGAACGCCGCACTGTCAGCATTTGCCGCAATTGGGCATTTGTATCAAGCGAAAAAGATCTTTGAGACAATGCCCGAGAGAGATTCAGTATCCTGGTCTCTAATCTCACTTGCCTTCGCTCGCTGTCAACTTGACTCCAGTGCTGTTTTCGCATCAATGCAGCTGACCCATTTCCCGATTGACAGCTGCTTCAGCACTTTCATCGTAGCTTGCAGTGACTCCGGGAACATTCGCTGCGGCAAGGCGTGCTTCACGTCCATGATCGCAGATTTCGGCATCGACGCAACGAAACAGCTCTACCTCTGTGTACTGAGCCTCCTCGCCCGCGCCGGATACCTGGAAGACGCGATTGAGCTGATCGAAACAATGCCCTTCGCAGCTGATGCTTTGGAATGGACGTGCCTGTTGTCTTCGTGCAAGAGCCATGTCGATTTGGGTCGTGGGAAAAACGCCGCCCAATTCATGCTAACTCGCGATTCTTCGTCCTCTTACGTACTGCTTAGCAATGTATACCGCTTGGATGCAAAGGAAAGCATTGCACGATCCACGAAACAAAAATCTCCAAAGATTTTGCATCAAACCTTATAGTTTGGTAGCTCCAAACTTAGAGAAAAATGGAACTCCCAACTACAAGTCAATGCCGTAGTCAACCTTAGTCAAAGAGGGTCAAACACGATTGCATACGTGGGTAGCAAAGGAACGTCTCATCCGCGTGGCTTGCACGAGCACCATGCAGGCGATGCGTGGATAGCTCGGCCCCACGGCCACCTCAGCTGCCACCTCGGCCTGGCACGTCCACGTAGATTATATGCCCGTGTATTTCTACCGTGAACTGCGGGGACTGAATCTCAGTGTTTATTCTATTTTCTCTCTTCCCTCTTTCGCTTTCTTGCTCACTCTCTTCTTTCTCGAGAAGAAGTCCTCAATGGCACTGCGAGATTCTTTGTTCGCAAAGTTTGTCTTCGTGTATGGGGACGACGACGATGACAATCCCCCGGATCTCGCCCCCGCCGCCTCGGAAGTTCCTGCATTGTCTTCTTGTTTCCTGGGGGAAGACCAGATGGTTCCGAGAATCATCTATGAGGCTCACTGCGGAGATCGCGATCGCCAAGTAAGTTACACAAGAAATCCTGTTCCCTTTTCCTCTTTTGATGATTTCAGTTTGATTCACTGTGTTCCTTGATCAAAACAGAGAGGTCAATCTCCTCCAACAGTTCGCATTGGGATCTGAGAACGCTGGATCTTTTCACCGCTGCTCCAATTCAAATCCCTCTTGCGTGTAATGTCGTCCCTCTCGACCGCTCTGACGACCTATAAACTCTCACCTCTTATAGTTTTTGGTCACTTGTAACTCTTGAGAATAATACCAATCCACGTTTGAGTCGATCGTGTTTAGTTTTAGATTTTGGAGCCATGCCTTCGCTGCTTCACCGCTAGCAATGAAGTATCCTCAAACGAAAAATTCATGCTTTCCGAAACTCCCCCCACGAAGTCGCTTAATTAAGCTCGTCGCTTCTTTCGCAGTTCTGGTTTCCAAGTGGGAAAGATCTGGCCGCGGTTCTAGAGACGTTAGAATGGCGATGATTTCCGGAGGATCTCCTGATCATTTTTTATTGCCTGGAGAACAGCTGAGTCCACGTCGCCTTCATCGACTGTGGCAGATATTTCTTGACAGTTTTCTACATTGCTGTGCGCTCGCGACCGCTCCTGGAGCCCTAAATTAAGAAAACTAAAATCGTTTTAAGCTGTCTGCTGACATTCAGTTACTATATGCTTTATGTTCTTGATCATTTTCAGAAAGGCAAAGTTTCCAAGAATTTGATCACGGCTATGATTGTCTCGCTACACTCTGCGTAGCTATTAGCTACAAAATAACCGCCTGGACAGTGTCTACCAGGTGAAGGATATTCCGAATCGTGATTGTCAGACTGCACATCTTCTCCCGTAAACGATCCTCGGCAACCGTGGCTTCTTTTCTTCACCTAGCTTCACGCTACCAGACCTAGCCGCCTCTCCACAAGGGAGAAGAGCTAGATGGAGATCGTCATCGATGGACACGGCCACATTCTCGGCCGCGTTGCTTCCATCTGCTCGAAGGAGCTTCTCAAAGGCCAGCGCTTGGTATTCGATTGCAGTTCGATTGTGATTGCGATTGTTCGATTGCTCGTTCTTTCTTTCTTTCAGGTGATTGTTCGCTGCGAAGACATTTGCATGTCGGGGGGGATCATCCGCCAGAAGATGAAGTATCATCGGGCTTTAAGGAGGCGCAGCAACACAAATCCCCGGCGTGGTGGCCCCAAGATCGAAACCTCTCCTTCCGGCATTCTTGCGCGCGTCATCAAAGGGTGAGTCTTTCCTTTCAACCATTTGTGGGCAATTCTTTTCTTGAGGATCTAGAATGCTTCCCAGATCCAAGAGGGCGGGTGCACTCCGCAATTTCAAAGCCTACGATGGCTGTCCTCCACCGTATGGTGTCGTGAAGAAAATGGTCATCCCCGACGCTCTCAAGTAAGCAAAAAAAATCTCTCAGTCACCACGTTTTTTTACCCTTCGTTTCTGTAGAGTGCTCAGAATGAGAAGGGAGAGTCCCTTCTGCTTGCTTGGAGCTTTAGCGCGCGATCTCGGATGGGAGGGTGGCGACTTTGTAGCTGTAAGTAATGAAGTAATGAATGACTAGAAAGTTAGATGTTATTTGATCTCGTTTTTGTTTGGATAGAAACTGGAGGCCAAGCGCAAAGAGAAAGCGCTAGTTTTCTACAAGAGAAAACTCAAATTTCTAGCAGAAAGAAGTCGTATACTGGATGAGTATGACAAGAAACAGAATGAACTTCAGCAGCAACAGGAAAATCTCTTGGAAGGTATAGTTGTTGCGCTAGTTTTCTATAAAATCAAATGCAAAGTTTGTAGCAGAGACAGGTGAGTCTGACGTGAATCAGCGGCGACAACAGGAAAAACTCTCGGAAGGTATTGTTGTGTCTTAGTCTTAAAATGGAAAATTAGCATTCTTTCCAGGTCTTCAGCGGGTTGTGAAGCTTCCCGAGAACAAGAACCTGATCGACTTATTCGTGTTTGCAAGAGTTTTTCCGGGGTATCTCTCAGCCATAACCGATGCCTTGGAAACCTCACAGTTCCTAGCGTTTGATACAACGACTGAGCTTGCTGTCAAACCTTCTGAAGCACCGAAAGTCTTGTCAATGCTCCAGCGCGTTCGATCTCTTGAGAGCTTTGCATTCCATATTGATGTCGGATATGAGGTGAATGCTGAAATCATTCAAAGAGTGCTCTCTTTCCAGTTTCTGACGAGCGGGTTGATACCAGGTGGATGCTGAAATCATTCAAAACGTGGAGCTAAAAGAACTCGTCATTGAAGGCTTCGAGATCCAAGGCGAAATCAAGCTTATTCCGTTGCCAAGCCTTGTGGACCTTAACGTCAAGGTATGGACTTCTTATTTGGTTGTTGGATCATCATCTCTCGTTGATATTGTTTCTTATATAGGGCTTTATCATTGCTCCTGAAATGCCACATCCTGGCATAGCCTGGCCGTTGCTCACGACTCTAGAGCTTTTCTATATGTTGGTGAGCCTAATCACGGTGAATGGTATCCTTGCAAGGTGCCCCTCGCTCACTAATCTCAGCATCATCGATTGCATTTACTACGTCGATTTTGACAACGAAGATGACACTGATGATGATGCTCCAATGACAAGTGCTTTCTCTCTGGAGTGGACGATTTTTTCAACATCACTCACGTCATTTCGCTTTAAGTAAGTGTGCTCCAACATTTTCTGGTGCCTAAAACTCTAACTAGTTGCTGTTCTCTCTTTCTTTCAAGGGCAAGGGGGGAGATTTACGACGAGATCAAGATCATTGCTCCAAGCTTGAAGAAACTGAACCTTTCTGGTTTCCAGAACCTCAAACTCAAGGGCCCCTTTGCACTGGCGGAAATGAGTCTTTCCGAGATCCATTTTGAGGAGGAATCACTTTCGATTATGCAGGAGCAGCTAAACAGCATAACGTCCAAGGATCCTTCAGTGACAGAAGTGCTCCGAGTCTCTACGGTGGGTGACGATTCAGGCCGCCTCTATGCAGTGCTGCGCTCAATTGTGGGAATAACGACTGCAGTGCTTGAAGTCCAGGGAAGTCCAGCACTCCTTGATAACATCGACCACTTACAAGTCTGGGAGTCCATCAGAACCTACGCAAGGACCGTCAATCTTGTTCCTGCCGAAGTCGACTGAGAAATAACTTGTTGCGCTCAATTAAATAAATAAATAACCTTTGGATGCCTATTGTGTTTGAATATGGCTTGGACCACATCAAAAAACTCTTCAAGCTCTAATTATGCATTGTATTTCCATCATCTGCTGTGCATGTAATTGAATCATTGCAATGTAAATTTCCTTAACACTTTTGTATTAGGATAAAATGGGTGTATTTTGATATTGTGGGTTGGAAAAGTTTTGATTAGAGGGCTTGATCTTCCTCGCAAGAGTCAAGAAGATGCCTCATTCTTAAGCATCCATCCTTCCAGAACGCTCTGAGGTGGATAAAAAGATAAAAAACTTGGCACCGACACGGATGACCGGCGATGACCGCAAGGACCGGCAATGACCACGACTATAAAGCCTGGTGACTGGGAGGGCTGGCGACGACGGAGATAAGTGGAGGTTTTTTGGAGCTTGGCGCTTGTATGGGTGGAGCTTGTTAGAGCTTACTGTAGCTTGAATCTCTTCTGGAGCTGTGGAGCGTGGCTTGGAGCTTTAAGAGCGTGGAATTTAGAAGTGCTCCGTGTCACACTCAGTTTGTTCTCGTTGTCTTAGTATGGCGGCACCAAAGTAAAACATATAAAATGCTATATTCTTCGATTCGGACGTTAATAACCGCGGATGCCCCTGTTCTAGAAGATCAAGCCCCGGCTCCATGAGCTTTTTGCTACCCGGGCTGCTACTTAGCCAAAGACGATGATCGTACAATGGCTTCGCATTCAACACCACCGAATTTTTATTTCTTTGAAAGTTTTTGATTCTTTGACACTAACTCATGCCCTGTGCAAGAGATGAATCTATGATCTGCTCCATAAGAAGCTGCTCCTACAATACATTGGAATATAAAAAAAATTCGAAGTAACTAGAAGTGAATCAAGGAAGAATCATAGAAGTAGCAGCTTTAGTAAGTTGCTCTTTCATACGCTGGTGAGCAGCTTCTACAGATGCATCAGCATGCCATTTAATATCATCATCATCTTTGTCCTCCTCTTGAAGGTTTCTAGTCTTGATGCTTTGGCTCTTCAGAATCACTTTGGCAACCCTTTTATCTTTCTTGCTGCATCCAATGCTGTTGTTCTGACTGTAAAACTTCATCATCGCCTTGTTGCTGTCGAGGGGATCCATATGAGAAAGGTGGCCACACGCTGCACACTTCAGACTTATCATTTTGTCTAGCACAATATCAGTCTCCGGATTCCCACACTTGTAACACTGAACATATTTCTCAATGAACCTATCCAAGAGATCACACAGTTTTTGAGTTTCGTGAGCGCCATTGACAATAGAAGTATGAGTTTTGTTGTCGAAACTGGATTGCGCCCCAAGCTCACAACCAAAAAACTTTGTTACATGTGCTGGGGAACGTGCAAGTGCCTTAGCCACCTCGACAATATTCACAATGTTTGTCTTAATACCATTGCCACGCCCATGAATCTTGGTCACCAGCTTCGGCATTTTGTACCTGTGAATGTGAAGATGTCACATTGAAGTAAGAAATTTTACAAATAATACCTGTAGAAGGCATCATTGTTGTTGTTGGAGCCAATGTTTTGAAGCTCCATAGGTAACTTTTTCCTCAAACACCTCAAGCTTTTTAATTAAGTTTTTAAGCTAAATTAAATCGTAAGCACTATTTTTATACTTTTCTTTGTTTTTTTCACAGCCAGTTTCCCATGCCTTCAGCAAGACAAAGTGTAACTTCGACCATATGTCCAAGAGAACTTTATAGACGCTTTAATTATAGAACGTAGCATGTTTGCTCAAAACTGTCAGATTGATAAAAAATAATTAAACGCTTTCTCTAGACAAGTCATCTCAGTGAGGCAAAGATTTTGTTTAATCAGCCGCCACAAAAAGCATGGAACACAATGCTAAACGTGTACTATGTAAATGGTCTTATCAAAGAATCGAAACAGTGTTTGAACAGAAAAAACTTACACTAGAATGCAAATGACTGGCGTTGACGTGTTACTTAGCAATGTATATCACTTGGATGCAGGGTCAAAACAAAGCATTGCACTTGGATCAATCTTCCTGTTATTAACTTCACATTGCACTTGAATCAATCTTCCTGTTATAGATTTCACACTTATACTTCCTTTCGAGCTCAGTCAAGGAAATAGTCAACATTAGTAAAAAAGAGTCAAATACGATTGCATACGTGGGTAAGAGGAACGTCTCGTCGCGTGGCTTCCACGAGCACCATGCAAGGGATGCGTGGAGCCACGGCCACCTCAGCTGCCACCTCGACCTGGCACGTCCACGTAAGATTACGTGCCCCTGTATTTCTACCGCGACTGAATCTCAGTGCTTATTCTATCCCTCTCTCGCTTTCTTTCTCACTCTCTTCTCTCCTGAGAAGAAGTCCTCTCTACAATGGCACTGCGAGATTCTTTGTTTGCAAAGTTTGTCTTCGTGCATGGGGATGACGACGATGACAATCCCCCGGATCTCGCGCCCGCCGCCTCAGAAGTTCATGCATTGTCTCCTTGTCTCCTGGGGGAAGACCAAATGGTTCCAAGGATCATCTATGAGGCTCACTGCGGAAATCGCGATCGCCAAGTAAGTTCTATTCCCTTTTCCTCTTTTGATGTTTCCAATTTGATTCACTGTGTTCACTGTGTTCCTTGATCAATGCAGCGAGATCAAACTCCTCCAACAGTTCGCATTGGGATCTGAGAACGCTGGTCCTTTCACCGCTCTAATTCAAATCCCTCTTGCCTGTATCTCATCCTTCTCCTTCTTTGCGGATCGGAGAAGCCAGAAAAAGCTAGTTGTCAAGGATCTATGACGAACTATAAACTCTCGCCTTTTGTTGTAACCTCCGAGAATAATACCAATCCACGATCGCTTCTCTTCGAGTTTGAGTCGATCGTTTCAGTTTTTTAGCTCGGGCTTTCGACTTTGGAGCCATGCCTTGGCTGCTTCTCCGCTAGCAATGAAGTATCCCCCTGGACGACGGTTTTCCTCGAACGGAGAATCCATGCCTTTCAACACTCCCCCCACGAACTCGCTCAGGCTGACGCTGTTGGTCGCTTCTTTCGCTCTTCCAGTCCCGGTTTCCACCATGAGATCCTCCGGGAACTCGTCGCCATTCTCCGCCGCAGTGGCTAAGCTCTCGATCCAAGCCTCCAGCGCGCACTCGGCGGCAGCGAACGAGAGAGTTCTCAAGTTGAGTTGCCACAACGACGGTAAGGTGGTGTGGAGCCCGTGATACAAACCAGCCGAGACTCCGCTGGAAAGTATCGCTCGAGCAGCGTTTCTGGATCCCAGAACGCAGCAAAAGTCTATCACCGCGTTGCACATCGGCCTCCTCGACGGAGCCGTGATCTCCCGCAGCAAAAACTCGGTGGTCTCGGAAGCGATGTCATCAAAGTCATCGTCTTCTTTGGCTAGAACTAGCAGCCGGGACAAAAGCTCGTGGAGCCGGGGCTTGATCTTCTTCACGCACTCGAGGACGCCGAGCCGGGTTTCGTCACTTATCTGCGACGAAGAGGCGCACGAGACGAGCATCCCGCTCATCCTCTCGTTCACAGAGCAGCCATTCGCGATCATCTCGTCAAAGATCCCGGGTATGCGATCGAAGTCCCCGGCCTGCTTGGAGGCCTTGATGAGCATCGTGTAGAAGGCCGCCTTTGGAAACACGGCCAAGTTCTTGAGCTTGTCAAACATGGCCCGGACCTCTGCCACCATGCCTTTGGTCGCGTAGACATTCATCAAAATCCCATAAGTCATATGATCCGGCCACTGCTTCTCCCTCTCCATCTCCGCGATCAAGCTCTCAGCCCTCTGGATGTTGCCGCTCTCCACACACGACTTGAGCAGCGTGTTGTAGACGAGGACGTCGAGCTTCCATTTCTTCTGCTTGATGGTGTCGTAGACGTCCAGGGCCTTGTCGAGCGCGCCAACTTTGGTGTACATGTCGATGAGGATGCTGAGAGTTATCTCCGACGGCTCCAGGCCATAGCTCGCCATCTCGTCAAACATCCCTTTGGCGAGCGTGACTTTCCCAGCTCGTCCTAGCGTTCCAATCAGAGTGTTGAAGAGAACCACGTTTGGCTTGATCTCGGCTTGTTCCATGTCTCGGAAGAGCCTCAAGATCGCCTGGTAATCCCCGACTCTCGAGTAGACGTTCGCGATCACTCCAAACGAGACCAAGTCGGGCTTCCAGTTGTTCTTTCGCATTGTCTGGTAGAGATCCATGGCCTCGGCCGTTCTTCCGGCCTTCCCGTAGAGGTCGATCATGGCACTGTACGTAACTCCGTCGAAAGAAACTCCGGTTTCACGAAGCCGGTGGAACCAGGCTATGGCGTCCTCGGCTTGATCGCAGCGCTTGGAACAGCTGACAAAGATGCTGAAAGTGTAGTTGTCCGGCATGATCCTCTCCTCGAGCATCTCCTTGAGAAGTTCTTCCGACAAGCTCCACTGTTCTCCGTCGCGTAGCAGCTTGAGCATCATGTTGTATGCGAAGACAGTGATCTCGCAAACGTCACGCCGGGACCTCGCCCACCGGAAGAAGTCGAGCGCCTCCTTCCAGTCTCTCATCCCACCCAAGACCGCCACCACGGTCCTGGAAGGAAGATGGCCCCCGCTCCACGACTCTAGAGCCGTGGCCAGATCTTTCCCACGCGAGATACCATTTCGTATTGCCTGGAGAACAGCGTCTGCTCGGCCTATGTCCGGAGTCCACTTTGTGGAGCCGGGATTTTTCCTGGTGTCCCCTCGAAAGTCACTGCTCCTCGACTGTTGATGATACCAAGTCTTGGCAGATGGAGCCTCGGATTTCTTGGGGAAGTTTTCTCCTTCCACGACTGGTGCTGCATTGCTGCTGCTGCTGCTGCCGCCCTCGTCTACACTCCCCTGCGAGCTACTAGCGAGAATTCTAGGGCTCTTGGAAGCAATGGGCGAGAATGCAGCGGCGGCGGCGATAGGCGTGTAGAGCACCCAAGCCATTTGGATGGCGCGATCGCTTCGAGCTCTGCGTGGAATCAAAACTCACCGCGCGCGCCTCCATGCATTCCCGGGAGCCCTAAAACTTAAAATCGTTTTTACATTCAGTTTACCGGGTGGCATTGTTCCATTATTATATAGCTTTCCACAACAAAGATGGATGACTCATTTGGATGACTTTCCTGAGATGACTTTTGATTTTTCTTTCGAGGGGATAGATCTAGCATGAAACCAAACTTGTTACTCCAAATTTTGAAAAGCAGACTTCCACGCTTGAGGGCCCATTTCAACTCTCGGAAATGAGCCTCTCGGAGACTTCAAGCCGGTTGGTGGGCAGAGTTTTTAATTCTAACGAGAGAAAAAAAACGCCAACCATACAATATGTGACTATGGCATTTAAAAAGCGGGTTTTTAGCAGGAGGAAAAAGTTACAGGATGCTCTACAGGTTTTTAAAAATGCACACCACAGGTACGAAATGCCAAAGTTGGTGACCAAGATTCACGGTATTATTAAGACAAGCATTGTGAATATGGTGGAAGGCACTTTCAGGCTCCCCAGCACATATGACAAGGTTCTTTGGCTGTGAGCTTGGGGCACAATCTAGTTTCAATGACAAAACCAGCACTTCTATTGTAGATAAAATGATAAGTCTTAAGTGTGTGCTGCATATGGATCTCCTCGTCAGTAGCAAGGTGATGAAGAAGTTTTATACTCAGAGCGACAACGTTGGGAAAGACAAGAGGGTTGCCAAAGTGTTTTTAAGGAGCCAAAGCAGCAAAAACAAAAACTAACAGAGATGATGATCATATTGAATGACAGATTGATGAATCTCTAGAAGAGCGTCTGAGAGAGCAACTTACTGCAGCTGCACATCTATGATTCTTCCTTGATTCGTAATGCTGACCTTCTAGATGTTATGTAACAAAGCAAAGAGATTTGTGCTGTGAGTCATTAGATTGTTAAAATTTCTAATGCTTTGTTTGAAGTGTTTTATCTTTCTCAATGCATTTGCAAGCCTAGTGACAGTTGTATGTTGCTGAACGACTTTGCAATTGTACTTGATTCTGGAGGAAAAATCTTACGTCACAAAGCTCAAGTTTCTCATGCTCCATCTCCTTGCTTTCCAGGATATAATCAGCAAACCTCACCACATTATTCCATTCCACCAAGCTCCACCGTTTATTCCTGGGCCACCTTCAAGCCATATTTCCCCAATTTCTCACATTCCTTTTGCTAGTTCACCACTATTTCATTTTCCGCCTTCTTGTCCTCCTGGCACCTGCTGGGCCTTTCCTGGTTCTCATTTCAGGCCAAAAGAACATTGTAAATCTGCTTACCGCGGAGAGTATTGTCGATGGGTTTATCCATTTCTTGTCTTCGTCTACAGCCGTTTGATCAGGTTGAGAATCTGAACACGACTATATCAATAATTTTATACTCGTCTCTCGAAACATGGACCTATGGACCATTCAAGTCCAAGAGGAAAAGTCGCTGCTTCCCTCCGTGTAGTCACTGTGCCGTAACTCTTTCAAAGCTAATCAAACTATTGCTCCGTCTCCAGAAGAAATAAAACTGTTGACCTGGTCCGATGAAGCTTCAACTTCAGTGCAACAGTGGATCAGCTGTGCCAAAACCAAACAGCATCCTGCTTGCAAGAAACAAGGTACAGAGCTATTTACCCTTTCCTTCTTTTCGCTTTGTCGTGGAGCATGCAAGATCAACGCAGGACAACAAAAATCTAGATTGGAGGGTTGGCGATTTTCGTACATTTGTGCTTGCTTTTTCAAGGAAGACAAGACAAAGCGATTTTGTTATGTATCGTGTTTTCAAAAGCAGCAGCAGTGCCCCGATTGAACAGCAACTTGCATAATCTCGGCCCCAGAAAAATCCTCGAACAATACAGATTCTGCGTTCACTTAGCCCAGGAGCTACCATTCCCAAGTGATCTGGAGAGGCAACAATCTTGACCGCCATCGAAGTTTGTGGTCTCATGCCTCCAGCTGGTCGCTTATGACCCTATAAACATGTATATGTAAAAAGCATCTCTTGACATATTTAAAACGAAAGGGATGTAGTCTTGGCGGACTACAGGACTTTTAGCACTTCTTCCAGGTCAACACGATCTCTACGTAGTGGAGAAGAAGACATGAAAAAGACCGGGATCACATAATCAATCTCATCGAACTCTAAGTTTGATCATGCTCTCGAGAGTTTTTCTCCTAAGATCACTGTAAGTAGCCCAGGACATCGAGCAAACCCTCTGATTCCAGCAAGGGCACCTCTAGAAAGTCTAGGTTAAGCAGGGCTTGATCTTGCATCAGCGCGCTCATCCCGTCGTCATCGCTGCTGTCCAAGGCGTCGAGATTGTCACTGTTGTAGCTGATGTTGTTACTGTTCAAGTCCTCGTCCGCTGCGAAGCCATAGCTCTCATGGCCCAAGTCTTCTTGGCGCCGATTATAGCGTTCTAGATTTTGAGCAAGATCGCTATAACTCATTGACATGAACTTTGGATCATCTTGTTGTTGTTGTTGTTGATGATGGTGATGCTGGTCAACTTGAACGGATCCGGGCTCTTGCAGATCCGCATTCACGACCTCGATGCTCCAGGAAGTGTGGGCACCAATGCCGGGCATGATCGAGAGACTGCTAGTAGACGATCCCTCGGAGTTGAGGCTGCAATCAGTTTCGGGCGACGGGAAGGCGGAGAAGGACGAGGTGAAAGATGTGTTGCGGCTGAAGAAGCTGGTGTGGGAATTGTGTGTGTTCTTGTGTGTTACAGGCGATTTGATTGTCGACGAATTGTAGTGGAGTAGTGGCTTGTGGTTCTTGGGGTCGATCCCCATGCCCAAGAGCCTCTTGCTCAGGTGGAAGTTCCAGTAGTTTTTAATCTCGTTGTCGCTCCGGCCGGGAACTCGACCAGCAATGATGGACCATCTGCAAACGAATTCGATCATTGGTCAGACAAGAACTTGATGATTGACTCATCATGATCAAGCTTTGTTTATACCTGTTGCCAAGAAGAGAGTGCAGCCTGATGATGAGATCTGTCTCGTCCTCGGAGAATTTGCCTCGCTTGATATCCGGCCGCAAATAATTGAGCCATCTCAACCGGCAGCTCTTGCCGCATCTCAGCAATCCTATCGAAAGACAAAAGTTCAGTACTTTGGAATTGGATAGACACAGAAATCTCAGAAGTTCTTTTTGCGTTTGATTTACCAGCTGCTTTGGGGACTTTCCTCCAGTTGCCTTTGTCGCCCTGGCGCTTGATATACTCCGTGAGGAGCGCGTCCTCCTCGGGCGTCCATGGCCCCCTGTTGAAATACGCATTGCTGCAGCAAGTGCAAGGCCCTCTTCCCATATCGATCTCCTCGCTCGATCTTTTGGATCCAATTCGCAGATCTAGTGCGACTTTCTTTCCTTCACCTGATGATCTTGGCTAGATGCTTCTCTCCAGACATAGTAATGTCTTTTCGAGCTTATAGCACAAAGGATTCATACAAGACACATGAAGAGATCTTTAAGGACACTACGGGGGAGAGAAACAGGGTTCGCCTTTGAATGCACTTATACCCGGAGCTTGCATCCTCGTGGGAAACTGCCGACTCCCCAGCATCCTGGAAGTGACACTCATGGAAATTGCCCGGCTCTTGCCTATATGACCCGGCTTCTATACAAATTCTCGGGTGTCGGTAAAGAAAACACGATCGGATTTTTTTAATCCACGTGTCGCAGGGTGGCATGGCATCAAATTGGAGCATCAATCATGCAGCAATACATGGCTCACTGTTCACGAGAGGAAGAAGAAGGTCTTTCGCTGGGGAACTTGTCAGAGAAGCATAAAAAGGGAAGGCTCGATTTATTTTGCACGTCAAAGTCGCGATTGCCGGTGGTCATGAGACGTTTAGAGGTTTTAACAGAGGTTTGCCCGGTCAGTGTTGGCATGCTCTTTGTCCATATGACCAGATTTTTCTCGCAATTTTCCCATCACGTGGACACGAGGAAAACTTGACGGAAATTGATAATTTAGGTCATTGACAAATCGACAAAAGAGAAGCGAATTCAAAAAGGATCGAGTGGAATATTCTGTTCTTGGCGGGCGTTTTTGTTTTCTATCAGACGCACTTGGACGTTTGCTAAATGCAATTTTTTCTTCCCTTAGCCACGGCTCGTCAAAGATTCCAAGATTCCAGGAATTGACCGAGCGCCAAAACGTCTGCACGAGTTTATGAACACTCGTGATGATGACGTGTCAAAATACACCTTCCGAACGACGTAACACCACCCGATTCTTCTTTCTCGGCTCGAATTGGACGTGAGGTTGATCAATCAGGTTTTTCTTTTCAGCAGAAAGAAAAAATCACTAACACCTCACATGTGAGATAAGCTGATCGTCAGCACCCCCATGCTCCATAAACTTTAGGGTACTCTTCCCTTCGGATAGCAATGTGCACATCATTGCAGAGACAGACATTCTTAGCCTCCACAAAGGCGGCATTGAGATATTCATGGATTAGCTGCCGATTAAGAATTCTGGCTGTCGCCTGTTAGGCGGTAGAGAGCGCGCAGTGCTAGCCTTGAATCTCTCCTCTCTAATAGAGACCTCTATCCTCCTTTTGTGCCCGATCATGGGCCTTGGAAATACAATTGGATGTGTCCTGGAGCCTGGAGGGAGCTGCAAATCCGTGGTAGTGACAGAGAGAGTGTTGCCACGATCCACCCGAGAAGTTAAACGCACTTTCAATCCAGTGGCAACTCCAACTCCCCAGTTTTCGGAAGGTATATTCTGACACGTCATCGTCCTACGTGGTCCCACGTGGCACATGAACTTTGGAACCTCCATGATACGATCTTCCCGCCGTCACCATCCCGCCGTGGCGTACCTGGGCCGATCTGGGAGCGAGCTAGGCAGCTCCATATCTCCCTGGAGCATCGCGAGCGCGTGGCCAATCCCGATCCTCACGCCCACCAGCGGGTGAGCGCACAGCAGCGCCACCACCACGAACCTCTCCATGACGCTCCACGGCCCCGCGTTTCTCACCCTCTCGTCCACCACCTCGATGCTCTGGCCGCGCCGGAC